AGCTTTATTTGTTACTCAAATGTTTAATACCACCTTCTCTTTCCTCTATACAAAATTAAAATGGAGCAAACACACACACACACACACACACACACAGTCAGTAGACTGATCACACATACATCTTTCTAATCAGCATTAAGTCATTCAAACACACTCATCGCCCCTTTCCCTGCTCTAAAACCACATGCAGATACACAATGTCACAAACATGTTATAACAAAAACAAAAGGTTATGACTAGTTCCAGAGCAGCTAAAACGTGCATTGCTGCACAAAGCAGTTTCATGATATAGCAGAGACAGACTTGGGGAGAGCACGTGAAGGGCCTTCACTTTTTAGCACACAACTCGTAAGAAGTTTAGATGCAGTCAGCGTCTGACAGTGGCTGTCATGGGGACAAAGTGTTTGCACAATGCACAGACACATCTAGATGCAAGTCCCCAAAGCAGCCACTGCGTACACTTCATTCACTCCAAGAGAGGTACTGTGTACAGTTAAACATCGGAATAACCTGCAAAAATGTAATATTGGCATCTTTACTCAAAATGACCACGAGATTTTAAACAAATTGTCACAGAGAGGCTTGTTCTAATTAGCCAAGGGAGACTGAGAAAAGGTCATCCTGCACGTTTCCCCGAGTCTTTATCCCCTAGAATTAGAGCTGAGTCAATATGTAAACTGAGGCAAAAGAGGCAAGTCCCTAATACTAATATTTCCTGTAGCCCTAAAGCTGAGATTAAATTTCACACAGGTAAGAGTTAAGACTGTGTCTGATAGACAACATGCTGTTAACATGCTATACCCAAACAAATAAACAGCATTTTCATTAGGCAACCCATATACTGCATTTAAAGGGACAATCTGACATTTTCAAGTGGAATGTCATTGTTCTTCACCGCTGTTACATTACCAAAAAACAGGCTTGCAACACAACTTGTTAGCACTGTTCATAAACCTCATTACAACCAACCCACAGTGCAATTGTAGCTGAAAGCTAACATGCTAGGCTGCAGCAAATAACACCATTAGGACCCAAACAACTTGTCTTGCTGCAGCAAATAACACCATTAGGACCCCCGATCCACTGTGCCTTGTGTGAACACAACAAAAGAATTATAATTAAGAATATAAAAAAGTGAAGGAGTCTGTCACAAACATTAACTTCTGACTCATCGCCTTAGATTGTGCAAAAGTAAAGTGAAGAGAAAAGATTGAGAGTTTTAGTGGAGCTTTCAACTCATGGCTGGTGCATCGTAGCAGCTGCAGTCAGTACCACGCGGCTCACCTCCATTACTAACTGCACAGTGAACTCCAGAGTTAAGACTATACAACCCACCAGCAGATGTCTCTGTTAAAACGACCAGCGGCTGCTGATACGCTCTGATAATTCTACAGGTTTAGAACCACAGAATAAACAGCACCATGCTCCCGCTGACAAGAAATACATCGAAATTATAAATCCTGATTTTTGGTCAGATTTCCCATTATTTGAGTGTGCAACTATTACCTCACAAAAAGAGAAACTTCAAATGTATTTCCTCCAAGTTTCACCAGAGCTTTTGCTTGCTCTCCTTCGTGACAGGTTTCCAGCACCGTTCACGATAAGTACCAACACATTATTAAATGTCACTACAAAGAAGATATTTTCCTGGGAATGTAGAATGATGAAATTACTGGGAATCCTAGCCTTTCCTTCAACTGTAAACTTCATTTTTTGCTCATATTGCAGTTTCATCATTTGCTACCACGTAGGGTGCGATGCAGTCTGACATGAACAAAAGCTTGTTGGCAGACTGTTGATCTTTAATGTCATGAGATTCGTTTTTTAAATGAATCCTATGACAAAGAGCTGGGTGGACTAATTGGTATTTTAAATGGCCAATAAAAACTAATATACACACATGTATATAAAACATTCTCTGGGCATGGTAGGAACAGTGTGTATGTGGACTCTCTTCCCCTTGACATGCTCTTTTGTTGTGGCCACACAAGGGCAGCTTTTGTATGCCATCAGAGTGTGAACCAAGTACAAGTGTGTGCATAATGTATGTGTTTCTTAGTGTCTGTCTTAGCAGGACTTTGTGTGCGTCCTGGTAAATACACAGTTTATGAACTGCTCTCCCACTGTGCTGGCTTGGAGCCGACCAGTCGGCAGGACAGCGCAGATAGAGGACACAAAAGAAAGTGAGCCTTCTCTCTCTGTTGTTGAAAGGGGCAGGCTGGTGGTGAGATGGTCATGGAGAGGGAAAGGTGGAGGAGAGTGGAGGCTGTTGGAAGAGGAAATGGAGGGAGGCCAGCATTCTGGTGGTGGTGGTGGTGGTGGTGCCAGAGACATTCCCTCGGCTAATGTTTCTCCTTCCGGTCAGGAAGCTGAGCTTAAGTTTGATCTTACAATATGGCAGAAAGTTCTTCAAATTTCTATCCAGTGAAACAGGTTCAAATCCTGCATCGTGCTGTTGCTAAATGGCCTTCAGGGAGATTCAGTTGTCACCGACACAACACCATGGACTGACGGCCCGGTAAAAGAACGTGGAGAGGGGATTTTCATTGTATCTTGTCGTTGTTGTTGGAGTGAGCAGACTGGCACTGGGCTGAGGATGAAGAGGAGGAAAAGGTTTTAGTGGTGGCCGAGGGTTCCCTGGGTTTGTGTTTCCGATGCAGGGCGATCGCAGTTAGAATGCTGGTGATGTGCACGTAGTAGTACATAGACCTGAGAAAGAAAGGAAGAAAAACAAAGTGAAAGATCTTTCTCATGTCTTTGCCTGTAAAAGCCTGCTAATACTTTAATGCTGTACCAAAATACTACAGTGCCTTGCGAAAGTATTCGGCCCCCTTGAACTTTGCGACCTTTTGCCACATTTCAGGCTTCAAACATAAAGATATAAAACTGTAATTTTTTGTGAAGAATCAACAACAAGTGGGACACAATCATGAAGTGGAACGAAATTTATTGGATATTTCAAACTTTTTTAACAAATAAAAAACTGAAAAATTGGGCGTGCAAAATTATTCAGCCCCCTTAAGTTAATACTTTGTAGCGCCACCTTTTGCTGCGATTACAGCTGTAAGTCACTTGGGGTATGTCTCTATCAGTTTTGCACATCAAGAGACTGAAATTTTTGCCCATTCCGCCTTGCAAAACAGCTCGAGCTCAGTGAGGTTGGATGGAGAGCATTTGTGAACAG